GCCGCGCGATCCAAGGTGGGAGCGGGCGCGGGCGCGGGCGGGGCGGGGCGGGCTCGACCGCTCGCGGGGCCTGTGGCCGACGCGCCTTTCCCGGGCTCCAGCCTTGCTTTGCAGTCACCGTTCCTTCCCTGTGCACTTCCTGCCCGGCGCGGAGCGGCGTCGGGCGGGTTCGGCGGCCAAGCCTGGGCCGCGTGAGGCGCGAGGGAGCGCCGGCAGCCGCTCGCCCGGCCCCGCCCGCAGGGGTTGGCGCCCGGGGCCTGGCCGTGGTGGCTGCGGGTGACGCTCGGGCCGTCGTTTGCGGCTGGGTTTGCCGACACCCGGTTCCTGCACCCAGGTTCCGGGCAGCCAGGAGGGGGCGCTGCTGCTCTCCTTTCACAAATGAGAAGCAGCCCACGCAGGTGAAGTGATTTTCAAAAGTGGTGGAGGCTCAGTGTCGCCTTAGAGCCCAGATGTTATCTGAGTCGTCCTGTTGCTGTAATTCTGCTCGAGACTTCGCACAGCCAGAGACAACTTTTAGCTTGGAATAAAATGAATTTTACTTTGAATTTAGCTTTGAACTGGCTCTAGTGCCAACTCCTAGTTGCTCAGTTAAATCAAAATCTAGAAACTGTCGATCTCCTACGTTAGTATCTGTTAGAAGTTTTGTGCTGATTTTTGCTCACAAATAACTATTGAGTTGAAGTTATTGCTGATAACTTGAGCTGAAGGATTTGCTAATTTTTAGAAATAGGGAATAAATGTGTGGTATTTGTTTGGCATATAGTTCTGCTCAGCATAATGTCTTGGTCTGTAGATAAGACCTTGGTCTTGGACATTGTTACTTTCTGTGGTATTTTACAAGCATGACTTCTAACAAGCTGGAAACATCTTTCAGCTGGAAACCCTGCCCAAGGAAGACCTGATCAAGTTCGCCAAGAAGCAGATGATGCTATTGCAGAAAGCCAAATCAAGGTGTACAGGTATTAGGATGAAAATACTTGTCTTGACTAAACGTGGCAGTTTTCGGCGTGTGACGGCCAGGTTTCAGTGTCTTGTGCTTTCCCATGCGTCTTAATCAGTGTCCTGGGATCTTGGCGTTCTGGTCATTGGTGACGATCATTTCTTGTGTCTAAGCTGCAGCTACCTCTGAGTTGTTAAAGCTAGGCAAGAGGATTTTTTAAAGCTCTTTGTAAAATTAAATTCTACTCATTCTATTCCTCCTATGCATTGTAGATTCTTCTCAGTTAAGTATGTTTTTCTACAGGGGTCCTTTAAAATGAGAAAAAGTTGTAAACCCAAAGACATAATAAAGATTCTCGAGTAAAATGAAGAAGTACTGCCATTGCAGTATGAGATTGATTTTCTATTCAGTTGCCTTATTGCAAAAAGAAAAAGGTATTTGTGACTTTTATTAATATAAGTGAACAAGTTCTTGAATTCCCAGTGGCTTAAAAACAGGATTTTAAAAATAAAATCTGACTTTCGGCCAGAAAAAAAGATCAAATAATTTTTTGGAAGTTTGTTCAGCGTATATTTAAGAGAGTAATTTATTTGGAAAGATGTTCTAGGTTCCAGAGCTGGGTATGATGAAATACTTAGATTAATATTTACGCTTCATATGAGGTTGGTTATTGCTTTAAGATTATAAGTGAGAAGTGTTTATAACTCAATAATAGGCTGGGATTCACTTCAAAATTGTCAGGGTGGCTGGACACAGTGGCGCACGTCTGGTCCTTGTAGCCTCAGGAGAGGGGACAGGAGGATCACTTGAGCCTGCGAGTGTCAGGCCAGCCCAGACAGCAGAGCAAGACTCCAGCTCACAAAAAAAAAAAAAAAACTTAGAAGGGTGATTAAGAAAAGAGCTTAGTGTGATACCAAATTGGCCAGGAGATAATTGCTGAAGCAAAGCGATAGGCGAGATTTGTCAGTGATCACTGTTTTCTCTACTTGGTTGTTTGAAATGTTTTTAATAAAAAAGAAAAAAGTAATACTGTTCTTTGGGTAAAATTAATATTTCTGAAAATATTTGCTGCCTAAATATTTCTTTGTATATTTGGTAACAGGAATCACACTCAGGACCGTGTGCTTGCTTGCCAGGCCTGTTATTCTAATTTGTAGATTTTGGAGGCTTTTTAGGATATTCTTAACACTTCAGTAATTTTCTGTTTTTCATTTCTAAACTGGAATCTTTTCTTTCTTAGAATTAGAGAAAGAAATTGATGAACTCAAATCAAACCCTGTGAACGGAGGAAGTGAAGATATTATTAAGGTAATGAAATGGCTGTGGATGTTGCTTATTTACCTAGAGGCAGTGTCTGATGATCAGCCTGCTGGAGGTTGCCTGGCTTTCCATCTGGCTTTTCCACTTCCTCCCTCACCTCAGTTAGAATTTTTTCCTTCGGTTTCATTGCTGGTGACCTCGAGAGCTGTATCTGTGGGTGTGTTTTGTCTTTTAGGCCCACATGCTCCCTAATTATGGTTATGGTTTAGTCTGTCCTGTGCTGCCCTCGAGACTGTGGTGCTCAGCAGTACTGGTACCTAGAGATGCACCTGTCGATCCACATCCCTGGTCACAACTTTGGACCCTGCGCTAAGAGTTACTCCAGTTGGTTGGAAAAATCCTCAGCCTCACATGGCAGTCACCCGCTCTGGCAGCCAGCAGCACCACTAGTTTTTATGCCTTGCAACTTTAGAGGGCGTTCACTCTCCAGTTTCCTGTGTCCTCTGCCTGTGTCGTCATAGGTATGCCAGAGACCTGTTGTTGCTCCAGGACATGCGCCATTAGTGTGGCTTTCCTGCTTTCTGGAGCCTCCTGTCTCCCTGCACCAGCTGGGCAGGTGGCGCTCTTGGGCTGCTGCTCCACACTCCCTGAAGCGGCTTTTGGTAGTGTCCCTCTGCCCTCGTGCATGTCTTCTTGTGTTGGCCGCTGGCTGGGTCCCTTGTCACTCACTGAGTTGGTCACCACACCTACTACCCCATATCTTTCTGCAGTTTTCCTAGGAGAGAACGCTTGAAAGGTCAGTTTTCGTGTTGCTTTAGATTTTAAAATGCCTCCACTCTGCTTGACTTATTGTTGTCATTCGATACAGAGCTCTGAAGTTTTCTATACCTGCTTTATTTTGGCTTTCTTAAGCAACAGTGTTGGAGCAGAACTTCAAAGTTCTGAAGGTTGAAGAAGAACAAAGGCTGGCAGCCCTTGGGTGGACTCTGTCTCCCTTTGGTGTCCTCAGGGCACAGCCTCCCCAGACTGTTGTGCCCTCACGCTCTTGACTGGGAAGATGTGGATGTGAGGGCTTGGCTCTCCTGGCGTCCCCCTAGAGGTGGCCAGAAGCCACGCCTGTAGAGGCGGAAGGAGCAGCCCACCTGGACACTCGTCCAGGGCGCATCTCCCTTCAGTTTTCCGCTTCCTTCAAGGGATGTCGATGGCCTCATTTTTCCGTTGTGTTCAAGTTTTTATTTTGGAATTAAAATGTTCCATTTCACAGTTTGTTCCTGACATTTGAATATTCTCTTTTTTTAATGCATCTTATTTAAGATTCCACGTGTTCTTTCTTTCTGAGGAAATAAATTCATACTGTGTTAAAGCTTTCTGTGGTTCCTTTTCATTATCTGTTTCCTTTACGTTACTTTTAATGTAATTATCTGTGAAAACAAACAGCTAGGATTTTGAAAATAATCTTCCCCGTATGTCATCTCTGGCCTTTCTCCTCCTATCCCACTAGTTTCCATACTCACAGTAAGCATCACCCTGAATGCCATCCTCCTTCCCTCATACAACTTTTATTGCAGCTATAAATATCACTTAAAAATTTTTTTTGCCAAGTGTGATAGTTCACGTCTGTAATCCTAGCACTTGGGAGGCTGAGGCAGGAGGAATACCATGACTTCAAGGCCACCGTGTTGCAAAAAAAGAAAATCTGAGCCTCACTTTAAATATGTAAAAATATTATTTCTATCTTTTAACTTCATTAAAAAGGTGCCTTGTGGCATGGTCACACGCAGAGTCTGGGTTTACTGCCCTGCAGCAGTCCCTGAGGGACTGTGGGAGGGTGTTGGGCTGTGCCCAGGCGTGTGCCGGGGACATGGTGCTGAGGGTTGCTGAGAAGGCGTCTCGGTCGCGAGGATCCTCAGGTGAATGAGCGGAAGTGCGGCGCGGCGCTTACACGAAGGCTCTGCTTTGGGAGCTGATGCCGGAGTATGCGCTTACTCCTAGATTTGGTGTTCTTTTATGGCCGTTTTAAAGTTAGGGTTTCTCATCACTTGCTAGCCGTATACAAATGGAACAAATTGATTTTGTATCTAGAGACTTCATGAAACTCACTTTCTAATTACCTATAAATGCGTCCAGATTTTTTCGTATAAATATATCATTGATAAATAATAGTCTTGGGGCCAGGGAGATGGCTCAGTAGAATGAATAAGCGCTTCCCTGGCAAGCGCACAAGGGCCTGAGTTCAATCCCCAATTCCGGAAAAAAAAAAAAAAAGTCTTCTAAATGTCAAATTTTAATCTTTATTTCTTACGTCTTTCATAAACATTTCATTAGTGAAGATAACTGATACTCTCTTTTGAGTGATTGTCTTGCTGAATTGCTACCCCTGCCTTAGCCTTCTGAGCTGGTGCAGTCTTAATTAGAAATGGTAGTGGGGGCACTAATGTTATATTTACAGTGTTTGCATCTAGATTTGTAGTAAAAATGGGTCTTTTATTTTTCGTTTTTGTGAAGTGCTAGGGTGTCGGTTTCTGATTCTGTAGACTCTTAGAAATTCTTTTCACTTTTTTATATGGACAAGTTCACACAAAATTATATAATCTTATCCCCTAAAAATTTGATAGAACTCAGCTCTGCCACCATCTGTCCCCCTTATTCTTTTGGCAGTTTTTAACTGCATTTGATTACCGTTTTTTTTCTCCCTTGAGTTGGTGTAAAGCTACATTTTTCTGGGAATGTACGTTATCTTACTTGAGCTTTCAGCATTTTTTTTTTCTTTTTTCTTTTTTTTTTTTTTTTGGTAGAGGGAATCAAACTCAGGTGCTTATTATGCTGAGCTGTCTCCCCAGCCCAGACTTTCAGTATTTCTGGGTGAATGCGTGTTCCTAATTGCCGCATTAACTCGCTTGCTCATCTGGCTCCTCCCTGTTCAGGTTGCCAGCCAGTCTGCTTCTGGAAACTCCGTTTTGCGGCATGCCTTCCTTGAAGCTCTAATTGATTACCTTGGATTCCTTTTCTTCATCTTTCTGTGAGTGCTGGGCTCTGCCTGAGGGCCCGTTCATACTGGCAAGCACTTACCTCTGAGCAGTGGCCCGCCCGGCAGCTCCCATTCCTAAGTATTTTATTTCTGGAGAGTCGTGGCCTGCTTCTCTGGGTTTCTTCCTGTACAGCCCTTACATTAGAGCTTTCTTTTTTTCTTTTAGTTCATTCTTTGCATTGTTTTCCAAAAATGTATTGAAATTTCTCATGTCCTCGTGTCTTTTCTCCTTTTCTCTCTTCTCTTTATACTTTTTTATTCATCAACAGGGTTTAGAAAATGGTGAGATAATTGTGTGTGGCCAGGCCATTTTTAACCTCATGCAGATCTCCCTGTTCTGAGACAGGCACTGACTGAGCGCCTTGATGCTGTACTCCTGGACAAAGCAGAGACCGAGCAGCAGTGTCTTTCCCTGAAAAAGGAGAATGTTAAAATGAAGCAGGAAGTTGAAGTAAGGCAACAATTAATGCTTTCTTTTTTATTTATTTATTTATTTATTTATTTATTTATTTATTTGGTGGAACCCGGGATTGAACTCAGGCCCTTTCACTTGCCAGGCAAGCGCTTATTGAACTGCGCTGTCTCCCCGGCCCCTCTTTTATATTCATAGTAGTGTACTCATGGATTTAAGCTAAGACCTTTGGAAGCATCTAATGCAGTTTTACCATATTATTAAAAAAAAAAAAACAAAACAGACCGCCCTGATAGCTCAGAGGACTCAAGTGCTTGCTTATGCAGAGTGTAGTGGCCGGGGTTCAGTCCCTGGCACATGCCATGCCGTCCCCACTCCCAGGGCACACAGACTGGGCATGGTAGTGTACACCTGTGATCACAGCACTTGGGAGGCTGAAAACAGGAGAATCACTAGGAGTCCAATCTACATCTACATAGTGAGACCTGGAACACCCAGTAGACCCTATACCAAATATATTTAAAAAAAAAAAAAAACCACTTCACTACGCACCTTGAAGTAGTGATCCTTCTGTTTTCAGCCTGCGCAGCACTTGGATTACAGGGACACTCCACCATGCCCAGTCTCACTTGCACTCTCAGGGCACTCCGGGGACAGGACCAGCACAGCATGCCGGATCAACCCCGCAGTCTGCTGAGCTGCCTGGCTGGCTGGGCTGATTTCTTCTTAATCTTTCTTAGTCTATGCAGGAGCTGTTAGTTGAAGCAGTTCTGGCTCGTAGAAGCTGCAGTGCTGCCAGTGTGCAGGGCTCCACTCAGGTCAGGCAGAGCCTTGCAGAAGGCTTGGACCTGTGGCCTCGCTTAGGTTGTGTTCACCTCCTATGTTTTGGCTGGCTGTGACTCGTGTCATCTTACTCAAATGACTTGTGCTTATTTTTGTAATAGGATTCTGCAACGAAAATACAAGATGTGCACAAGGAGTTAGAACAGTCACACAGCAACTATGTGAAAGAAATTGAAAATTTGAAAACTGAATTGATGACAGTCCATTCCAAACACAGTGAAGATAAGGCTGGCCTACAAAAGGAGCTAGAAGAAGCAATAAACAAACAGGCAGAGCTTTCAAAACAACTTGAATTTCAGTATAGCTCTGAAGCTGATGTTAAAAAACTGCAAGATGCGATCCAAGAAGTGAGGCCAGCCTTTGAGGAACAAATTTTGTATCTACAAAAGCAGTTAGAAGCTAGCACTGATGAAAAAAAGCAAGCGGTGACTCTCCTCCAAGAAGCCATGGAGGCGAACTCGCAGCAGTATCAAAGAGATGTGAGCCGTCTGCAAGAAGAAGTGAGAGAGCTGACACTGCAGATGGAAGCATCAGCTAGAGAACACGAAGCAGAAGTAAGCAGGCTAAACCAGCTGAACGAGGACTTAGCGAAGCAGTGTGAGGCCCGCGAGCAGAGCGCTCGCCCGCAGTACGAGTGTGAATTGCAAAGCCTGAGGCCAGCCAGCCCGGGCGCCGACCCACAGCACCCCGTGGGCCCTGGCCGCCTGCGGGAAGGTGCTCCTGTGGAGCAAGTAGTAGATGAGAAGACCAGGTACTTGGAGGATTCCTTGAAAGAGCTGGAATCACAACATAGTATCTTAAAGGATGAAGTAACTTATATGAATAATCTTAAATTAAAACTTGAAATGGATGCCCAGCACATAAAGGATGAGTTTTTTCATGAACGAGAAGACTTGGAATTTAAAATTAATGAACTATTACTAGCTAAAGAAGAGCAGGGCTGTGTAATAGAAAAACTAAAATACGAGCTAGAAGATTTAAATAAACAGTTTCATTGTGCTATAGAACAGCATAAAAAAGAAGTACAAAATCTCAAGGAGCAACATCAAAAAGAAATGTCAGACCTAAATGAGACATTTTTGTCAGGTTCAGAAAAAGAAAAATTAACGTTACTCTTTGAAATACAGGGTCTTAAGGAACAGTGTGAAAATCTTCAACAAGAAAAGCAAGAAGCAATACTAAATTACGAGAGTTTACGGGAGATTATGGAAATCTTACAGACAGAACTAGGAGAATCTGCTGGGAAAATCAGTCAGGAGTTTGAATCAATGAAGCAGCAGCAAGCATCTGATGTCGATGAGCTTCAGCAGCGGCTTCGGGCTGCGTTTAATGAGAAGGATGCTCTTCTTGAAACTGTGAACCGTCTGCAGGGAGAAAATGAAAAGTTGTTATCTCAACAGGAGTCAGTACCACAACTTGAAAGTGCTGTAAAGAGCCTTCAAGAAAAGAATGAAGTATACTTAGTCAGCCTGAGCCAAAGAGACACGATGGTACAAGAATTAGAAGCCAAGATATGTTCTCTTACAGAGGAAAAAAAAGATCTCGTAAGTAAAATTGAAAGTTTTCACGAAGAGCTAGATAGTCTGCATAAAAAGTGTGAAAGGGAAGAAAGTTTTGCTGAAGCACTTCGGGAGAAAGAGCAGCAGGCCAGCCGGTACAGCAGCGCCCTGGAACGGCAGGTAACTGGACTGACGGGAAGACTGGAAGAGGCTTTGAGAGCAAAGGGTGAAAGTGACCAGAAACTAGAGCAGCTTACGGTTCAGATGCAGGCCGTCTCTGGAGACCAGGAAGCGCTGTCGTCACAGGTGAGGTCCCTCGTTGAGGAAAACAGCAGGCTGTGTTCTGAGAAGGGCCAGCTGCGTCGGCATCTGGACGCTCTTCTGGCTCAGCAGGAAGATGTTACCCTGAAAGACCAAATGACTGAATTAGAGAAGAAGCTGCAGTTAACAACTGAAGAGCGAGATAACTTAAATAAGATGTTTGAAAATGAGCAAGTTCAGAAGTCATTTGTTAGAACTCAGCTCTATGGTTTTCTCAAGCAGATGGGGTCGAGCGCTTCAGAAACAAATGAGGAAGATGTTGGGCTTGTCCTGCAAGCTGTAGGCGAGGCCTTGGCGAAGGTGAAAGAAGACAGTCACAGCCTGGTTTCGCAGTATGCCGAAAGGGTGTTGGAATTAGAGAAGGAAGCTAAGTGCCTTCAAGAAAGAGCCGATCAGTGTGAAGAACTTAGGTGTTCACTGAGAGGCTGTGAGCAGGAGACGGTTCTCTTACAGCAAGAGTTAGAGGGAGTATTGTCACAGAAAGAAGCCTTGCAGTTTGCTCTTTCAGAAATGAAGAATGCTAATGAGAAAATAGTCCATGAAAATCATAATCTTCTAATTCAGATTGGAGAAGGATCTCCTCTATTGCACAGCAAAGCTGAAGTCTGTAATGAAAAACCTTCTGTGCCAGAACACGAAGATTTGAGGCCACTACTGGAGCAAAAGGAAGCTGAGCTGCGAGATGCGAGAGCTGAGCTGTTGTCGTTAAAGGTACAGAAACTTTGTATTGGTTCAGCTAAGTTCTTCGTTCTGGTGGTAGACTAGAAATGATATAAATTAATGTTCTTACACTTCAAAATCAGTAAATTTTCAGCATGTACGCTCGTGACAAAGTGAAAAACGCATTAGATGTTTTCATTTTGTATATCCATATTACGTTGGTCATTTGGAGGGTATAGATCATTTTAAAACCTTGAGCTTAAGTAATTAGGGTTTTAAATATCAGGATCTATAAGTGAGCAAAGAAGTGAGTGCTAGTGGTATTTTGCCTCAGGTACAGCCTTGGGATTTTCGTCAAACACCTTCTCATCTGGCCCTGAGTACTACTGCTTTGCTATAGTGTACGCCATATGCACTGCAAGGGTTGTGTTGCAGTGTGTCGACAAAAGGAAAGGAGGGCCGAATCTCTCTCACTTCGAGTATGGCCAGTTCAAGGAGATGCAGTGAATTGGTTTTTGTTTTTATTTCTCCTATAAAATTTAGGATTCCATAGAGAAATCACCTGTAAGAAATGATCAGCTTTCTACGGTGAAAGAACTGGAAGAGAAAATAGGTAACTGGTTTTTATGTGTCTCGTCACCATTCACTACAGTAGACTGGGAAGTGAACAGCCGGGTGACAAGGTGCAAACACGGGCAGTGGCGGTGCCTCCCTCAGCCCATTGCCCTCTGGCCCCCTTCAGCGCCCCTCCCGCCATGTAAGGCATACAGCGCGCTGCTGTGATTCTGTTGCAGGCGGCTCTGGTGATTTTGGACCTTGCTCACTGAGAGGCATGAGTTGGGTGCTGGGCTGGCCTGGACCCTGGCGGTGGGGGCAGGTGAGGGTGGTCGCAGGCTTGGCTCAGTGCTCAGCTCACTGCCAAGAGGAGCCAGGAGGGTGGAGTTCTGGGGCTTTTCTGGTTTTTGAGGTGGTCTCACTGTGTAGCCCAGGCTGGCCTTGAACTCCCATTGGTCCTCTCCTGCCTCACCCGCCCAAGTGCTGGGGTTTCCTATTTTGGGTTAGGAAAAATGTCACAGAATAAGGTCTTCATTTGGGTTTCAATGAATTTGAAATGTGACACAAAAAGGTTCCAAGGCAGGAGGGACAGCATGTGCTCTGTGATCACATCTACAGCACCAAGGAGCACACAGCACGGTCCTGGGAGGAAGAGGGATGGGCTGGTGTGTTGTGTGCAGGCACTGGGATCGGTCCTTGCCCACTCGCTGCCCGCAGTGACACGATGGATGACGTTGCTCTTGTTCCCATTGGAAAATGGGGACAGGAGAAAGTGCAGTGTCTGTGCAGTCGCAGTGTAGTGCCCAGCTTTCTGGAACGGTGGGTGGTGGGGGTGAGGTGTCTTTGCAAAATCATTTGGATACCGTTTCACCTGGAGATGGTAGGTGGGGTGCTGTGTACGTGTGCAGAGGGACGACTAGAGGTGAGTCAGTCGTGAGCTGTGACAGTGCGGGGCGTGGTGCTGTATGTGCGGGAGGCTGTGGCAGGAGGATCATGCAAGTGTCCAGCTAGCATGGGCTACGTAGCTGGACTAGACAGCGAGAAGAGGACCAGAGACAGTTCTCCATCTTAAGAGGACGGGGCCAGAGAGGAGACATGGAAGTGGCAGCCCTGCAGGACACAGACAGGGGTGCACTTGGTCTCAGGTGTACTGTGTCCCGGAGTTTAGGACTGAGGCAGTGAGGGTGTCGCTGCGGCAGGCACTACCACCCCTGGGCTAGAAGCGCAGGAGGCAGTTGTCCTGGTATTTAGGGCCTGGTCTGCCTTGCACGTGGCTTCTTGGAAAACATGGGGAAGGCAAGTTTCAGAGCAGATAAGGAGGACTCTGAAGGGATCTGTTCTGAAAGAGGAAAGGGACAGTACGTTGTTTGTAAACCTGTGATCCTAGGCTTTAGGAGGCTGAAGCAGGAGGATCACCGAGAATTCGCCATGAGTTTATGTAGCCTGGGCTACATACTGAGACCATGGCTCAAAAAAGAAGGAACCCCACCTCACAGCCCGCAAAAAGAAGACAGGAAAGTTGGCGTGCTTGAGCATCCTCTGCCCTCTTCAGCCGCATCCCCACTTGTTCCTGACCTCGAGTTCTTGCCTGTAATTGTCTTGTTGACTCCTTTCCAAGCGTTGGGAGAAGTGCTGTGGTGGTGCAGGAGTAGGGGAGGGGCCCGATGCACACAAGGACAGCCAGGCAAGAAGAGGTGCAGGATGGGGCTGAGGGAAGCTCTGAGTGTCGGCGCTCCAGGAGGAAGAGGAGGGGTCACAGGTGAAGAAGGAGACCTAGTGGGGACAAGGCATTGCAGGGTTAGGTGTGCAATTTGAGCTGCATCTGATGCCCAGCTCCTTGCCCTGGCTCCCCGACCACCCCATCGTGCCTGTGTACCTCTTCCAGAAAGCATGTCGGTGGAGGAGCCCTGACTCCTCCTCCAACTCCTAGGCACTTAGGATGTGGCTTTTAAAGTGGCTGCTGTCAGCTGGGAATGGCGGTGTAGGCCTGTCACCCAGGACTCAGGAGGCTGAGGCAGGAGGATGGCCACTATTTTGAGACTAGCCTGGACTACATAGCAAGAGCCTGTCTCTAAAAAATAAAGTAGGCCTATTTTAATGAATTAAGAAAATGAAAAATTTAATCACTGTTCGTCACACTGTCATTTTAAAAAGAAGATATTAACTCACGGCTGGTTTGTTTCAGGAAAGTGTGCTGCGGGTTGAGCACAGGCCTCCCCCTGACCATATCCCCACCCTTTGCTCTAGGTAGCTAAGTTGCTCAGGGTGGCTCCAGCTTGCCATCCTCCAGCCTCAGCCTCCCATAGTGTGGCAGTGGTGGAACTAGGCCATCGTGCCTGGCTAATGGGATGTTTCGCCTGCTCATTTTAATTTCAAGCCACAAAGTTTGTGTTCCAAAAGAAAAATTAGCTTCTAGGGCTAAAACCAGTGTGCAATTTCCCATTTTCCCTTGTGACTTCACATATAATCCTTTCATTTTCTGGTTTTTAGGAAATCTAGAAAAAGAATCCAGAGAGAAGGAGGAAAAACTAAGTAAGATAAAACTAGTCGCTGTGAAAGCAAAGAAAGAATTAGATTCTAGCAGAAAAGAGGTAAGCCAGCTGAATAGCACAAGATTCGGGAATCTTTTTATAAAAAGCAATCTCACTTTCTGTTCTTGAAAAGCATGAACTTGACTGTATATTTAAACAGGCCCAGACTCTAAAGGAAGAACTGGAGTCTGTCCGGGCAGAGAAGGATCAGTTGTCTGCATCCATGAGAGACCTCATCCAGGGAGCAGAGAGCTATAAGGTAAACGGTGACTCTAGTAACACGTTGCATTCTGACAAGTGAGGTAGGAAAGGTACCGCGTTGTGACACTTGCAGTGACACTTACAAAAGACCTCCTGTTCGTTAGTATCCTCCCTTTTCTTTGCACAGTGTAATAGACTGTAATACCTGGATTTTAAAGTAGCTAACCTTTAAATAGTGCCTCTAAACTCTTATTTTTTAAAAGTGAAATTCTCTTTGTGGGTTTTCTAATTAAAAAAGTAATAAATTGACAGCTGTGATCAGTGGCTGTTTTGCCTGAAGTTTAAACAGGTATAACAGGAGAAGGGAAGCACGATTGTTTGGAAGTGATGTGCTATTTTAATAATGTGAGATGCTTGTAAAAATGATGAAGTCCAAAGCCACCACACGCAAGATCGGTGTCTGCTTTCTCCAGGGATTTGCTCACTTGACACCCATTTCCACACTGCGTGAGACCTATTCCAGGGTAGGTGGCACTCGGTCAGCCCGGTCTCCGCCAGCCTATCCGCAGCCCTGAGCCCCTGACCTGGGGACTCATGTGCTGGCCGTGACAGGAAGGTAGAGGGACGAATGCAGCAGCCCGCGAGTCGGAGTGTGACTTAGTCCAGGAACTTCCTGTAGTAGGCAAACACAGGCAGGGCAACAATTTTGTTATTTATGTAGAGAGAAGGTGTCACTGTCAGTACAGGCTGTCCTTCAGTGCACTCCGTAGCCCAGGCTGGCCTCCAGCTTGCAGCAGTCCTCTTGCCTCAGCCTGCTGAGTGCTGGGATTACAGGCATACGCCACAAAGCTCAGCTTTGGGCAGTAATTTCAATGAGCAGTTGGACTTAAATTTCAAAACGTTGATGAGTGCATATTACTTATAATAGTCTCAAATTCATTTGTAAATTATTTCATTGAAAGGTTTAGGGGCCAGGGAGATGGCTCAGTGGAATAAGCGCTTCCCTGGCAAGCGCAAGGGCCTGAGTTCAATCCCCGATTCCGCCAAAAAAAAAAAAAAAAAAAAAAGGTTTAGGGTTTTGCTTTCTTTTTGGTGGGATTTTGACAGTTGTAAGTTTTAATGGAAAATAAGCTAACCAGAAAAGCTGAATGCTCTGGAAAAGATCTTATAGCAAAATTCACTGAGGAGCTGCGGTGGTGAGGGCGAATTTGGAGTCAGGTGGGTGGGTGCCGAAGAGGTAGAGGCCTGAGCATCACAGCAGACTCTGGGGGGCCGGCAAGCTCAGGACACTCCTGCAGACAGCTTCAGGGAGTCGAGCAGCCCGGTGAGGCTGCAGACCTCGGCGCAGAGCTGGTAGCAGCGGGCTCGCTGTCAGTCTGATCGTTCGTCAGCAAAGCTGTGCTATACCAGGGCAATCTGAAAAGAGACATCAGTGAAGAAGGAATTAGAAAACTATGTATTTAAAATCATTTAACCTGTAATCCCAGCACATGGGAGGGTGAGGTAGGAGGATTGCCATGAGTTCAGGGCCAGCCTGGGCTACATAAGCGAGTTCAACTGCTCTATATAGGAAGGCCCGGTCTTAAAAAAATAAAGCTATTTAAGGAAGCCAGTGAAGTTTTTATTACATTTATACACCAAAATAAGTTCTGGTTGAATGAAAGTAAAAGATGATTTCTTTTAACTGACTTCTGGTTATAAAAGACTTTTTAAAACTTCAAAACAGTTTAAGAAATTACAAAGGAGAGGCTGGGGAGATAGCTCAGTAGAATAAACGCTTGCCTTGCCAGCCCAGGGTCCTGAGTTCAATACCTGGTCCCGCCAAAAAAAAAAAAAAAAAAAATGAAATTACAAAGGAGAAAGTTAATAGGTTGACCCTGGCCTACGTCTAGAGGAAACTAATAAATAAGGTGGTAAGTTCTCTTAAATTACAGCTCCAGGGCCTGATGTATACGGAAGGTGGCTAAGCACTGACATAGATTCTAATGTGTTTTTTAAAGATTTATATTGGGCCAGGGAGATGGCTCAGTGGAATAAGTGCTTCCCTGGCAAGCGCAAGGGCCTGAGTTCAATCCTCGGTTCCGCCAAAAAAAAATAAAGATTTATATTAAGGATACTGATCTTTTGTCATATTTTCATGTGTAAACTTATATTTTTTGTGGTTTAGTGTCATTTTGTGTGCAAATTTACATTTTCATATTTTCCACTGTAAAAACTTTTAAGCATCTGGAGTCAAAGTTTACATCAGGATGGCTTGAGTGAGTGCACAATAACCTGAAGTAAATCTTTTCTTTGTTGAAGAATCTTTTATTGGAATATGATAAGCAATCAGAACAGTTGGATATGGAAAAGGAACGTGCTAATAATTTTGAGCATCACATGGAAGACCTTACCAAACAATTAAGAAATTCAACTTCTCAGGTAATTTTAAGTCTTTTATTTATTGATTGATTTATTTGGTACAGGGTTTCATTGCACAGTTCAGACTGGTAGTGATCCTTCTGTCTCAGCACCCAGCACTGGGATTACAGGCATGCACCGCCACCCCTGGTTTTGGCAGCCAGCGCAGGGCCAAGCTGGCATGGCATGCGGTACCGGCATGGCCTGTAGTGCCAGGGATCCAGCCAGGGTCCTTGCACTTGCCGGGCAGGCGCTTAGACCACTGAGCTATCTCCTCCGCCCTTGTCAGGTAATTTTAGATTGAGTGTATTCATCTGAATTTTGTGTTCTTTCCTGACTCCTTTTAACTCTGCAGTGTATCTAGTTTCTTAGAAATTTTACTATTTTAACATCACCAGAGATACTTTTTAAAACTTTTTTTTTTTTTTTTTGGTACAGGGTCTCACTAAGCAGCTGAGACTCGTAGTGATCCTTATGTCTCAGCCTCCCCAGTGCTGGGATTACGGGTGTGCACTACCATGCATGCTTGGCTGTGAGGCCAGCGTGGCACGCCAGGGGTTCCAGGGCCAACACAGCATGTGTTACCAGGGACCGAACCTGGATCCTTGCTCTTGCCAGGCATGCACTCCAACTGCCAAGCTATCTCCCCGTCCCGTAAAACTTACTGTTGATTTAATATTGTCATTCTGTGGAATTGATCGTGCAATGTTCAGTTTTTACACTAGGCCAGCGGTCTTTTTAATGTACTCTTCCTGCCTCTGCCTCCTACACTTTCTGCATGTGACAGTCATGAGTCATTTGTCATTCCAGTGTGAAAAATTAACCTCTGATAATGAAGATCTCCTGGCTCGTATTGAGACGCTTCAGTCCAATGCCAAGCTACTAGAAGTACAGATTTTAGAGGTCCAGAGAGCCAAAGTTGTGGTGGACAAAGAACTAGAAGCTGAAAAACTTCAGAAAGAACAGAAGCTGAAGGTGAACACCTCTTGTGAAAATGATCGCATATCCAATGATACTTTTATCAAAATATTTAAGTGAAGAAAAGCCTTCCTACTCAGGTGTGGTGGTTCATGCCTTTAATCTCAACACTTAGAAGACTGAGATAGGAGGAATGCCATGACTTCAAGGCCAGCTTACACTGCAGAGTGAGACCCTGTCTTTAGAAAGGGAGAGGGAGGCTATCTGAAGAAGGAGCATTGGTGGCTAGCCCTGGTGGCACACACCTGTTATCCCAGCACTCAGGAGGCAGAGGCAGGAGCATCGCTGCAAGTTTGAGGCCCACCCAGGATACGAGTTGAGTTCAAGGCCGGCCTGAACTACACTGTGAAATCCAGTCTGAAAAACACAAAAAAGTAGTATTGGTTGAAAGTAGCAGAGATCATTGATTCTTTAATGTGTGCCACCTCCAAGTTTAAGACTCCAAGCTGTCATTTTTGGGCTTATGTTTTACGTTTTTTCAGATTTATTTTATAACCTCTAACAAATGCCTTTTTAATTTGATTGGGTTATGGGATGGTTTTTATTTTTAATTTCAGGAACATGCCAGTACTGTAAGTGAGCTTGAAGAACTTCAGTTGCAACTCCAAAAGGAAAAGAAACAGCTTCAGAAAACCATGCAAGAATTAGAGTTGGTTAAAAAGGTACCATGCAGCTTCGGGCAGAGCTGGCGGGTGCCCTCATCGCTGAGCTGTGGGTGCCCACCAAGAGGGTGCTGGTGGGTTTTGTTTATGCTGCTCAGATAACCCTTTGTAAAGTTTGCCTCGGTCATTGGAAATTTTAACTTACTTCTCTTAAGTGCCTGTTTGCAGAAGAATCTAGATTCAAGAATTACTAGAATTTGGTGTGGTGTTTCCTGTTTGTGATTGTTATATGACCCACGAAGGCTTCATTACTATCAAAGCTTGCAGTTTGTCTTATTCTTAGACTTTTCACTAGTTTTTCTCTACTTTTCCAGAAATTAGGCTTTAAAGAAATTCTGTAGTCCACTTTAAATATTAAAATATTACAAAGAGGGCCGGGGAGATGGCTCAGTGGAATAAGTGCTTCCCTGGCAAGTGCAGGGGCCTGAGTTCAATCCCTGGCTCTGCAAAAAAAAAAAATACTACAAAGAGCCCGAGCAGACTGGAACCTGGTCTTGGTCGATGGAAGTTTTAATGCAACACAGTGAGCCTGAAAAGCCTGAGTTAAATGTTAGGAAATGTTTTATGAAGTTAGGAACTGAAACAGCATGCAGCTTCGCCTTCTTCCTCCCTGCTCACACTGCCCCTGTTTTGCGAGCACGTAGTGGAACCCGGTTATTCCTGCGCCACCATCTTAGTGATCTTATGAGTGAAACTAACTGAACTTGTAATTTGTGAGTCTTTTGTAAAATGTGCAGGATGCCCAGCAGACTACCCTGATGAACATGGAAATAGCGGACTATGAACGTGTGACGAAAGAATTCAGTCAACAGCTAACTGATAAAAGCAGCAAGATAGAAGATTTGAAGCAAGAAGTAGAAATTCAAAGACAGAAACAAGAAACCCTACAAGAAGAAATGAGTGAGTACTCTGCTCTCACTTTATTTATGTATTTATTTTTTGTGGCCAGCTCAGCCCACCCTGGGGGCGGGCTAGTGCGGCATGTGGTGCCGGGGCTCGAACCGCGGTCCTTCGCTTTTGCCTGAGCTTGCTTAAGCAGGCGCGTTATACCTCTGAGCTATCTCGCCAGCCCTCCACTCTCTCTTTTCCATGTGATCGTTCCGCAGTAGGCTTGGGGCGTGGGCACTGGCTGCCATCGCCTTTGGTGCGGCCAGCTGCGTCTGAGCTGGTGCCAGGCCTTCCTGAGGAGCCGAGGTCGAGGCCCAGTGCCAGTGCCAGTAGGAGGCCTGTGGTCCCCATCAGTGTCTGGCGCACTGACGCATTTAAACACTGACGTACCTGTTACACACATAACTTAAAGTAAAATTATCCTTGCCCACATTGCGGTTTTCAGCAAACTGGGAAAGTTTAGGACTGAAATACTTCTTTTTAGGTGGATTCCATTTTACCCATAGAACATCTTCTCCTGCTAGCGTTGCAAGCTGTGGATTTCCCTGTCCATCTCACAAGTTGATGTATTGTTTTAATTCAGATCATATTATTGTTTATTTCCATTATTTCTTTTTCAATACACGGTTACTAAGAAGTATCGTTTACCTTCTGAATACTTAAAAGGTTAAAGCCCAGCGCAGGAGGGAGCGTGGGTTACTGCCTGAGCGCGTCTCCCAGCCTGTGCACACTGTTAAAGGGCTCTTTTCACGTGTCTTTCTTTAGGAATCGCTAGCGGTGGTCTTGTGCTTAGAGTACATTCTGCACGTGACTCCAGCCCTTTCAGGTTTGTTGAGCCTGGGATGGCTTCCAGGAGCGCTGCTGGGTGCCTGACAGTGTGCCATTGGAGCGAACTCGAGCGAGCGCACTCTCCAGCGCCCGTCTTCTGATGCTGCTGCTTTGTCTCTCGCGCTGCCAAGTACTCGCGGTGGCTTGTTGCAGTCTCTCGCCATAGTTGTGGCCGTCTTCCCTTTCCTGTTAGTGTTCCATTTCTTGTGTTTAGAAACTGGTGTTGGGCGAGTGTACGCTTAAAATTGTCACATGTTCCTAGTTATTTGCTGCCTCTTGCTGTGAAAGGTCTGCATCTGCGACAATACTCCTTTCTCTGTACTCTCCTTTGGTGGTAACTGACGGATGTAGCCACACCTGGCCGTATGTTATTACTATTTATGTGGTCTGTCTTCTATCCTTTGGCTTTAAGCCGAGTCTGTGGCACTTTTTTTTGATAGTGTGTGGGTGTCTTGCAACTGGGGTTGGGATGTAGGAGCCCAGGGGCAGGAGCAGGGCTGGGGTGTAGGACCTGGAGGCCTAGTGGGGGTCAAGGTATAGGAGCCCAGGGGTGTGGGGTAACTGGGGGTCAGGGTATAGGATTGGGGGTGAAGGCAGCATTAGCAAACGCAGTTTCACTCGCTGCCTAGTAAGCCGGATATGTTTATTTAACTTTATTTGGTTATTTATTTTGGGTTTTTGATACACGGTCTTGCTGTCTAGTTCAGGCTGGCCTGGAATTCAAAGCAATCCTCCTGCCTCAGGCTTCTGAGTGCTGGGATGACAGGCCATGCCACTATGCCTAGCCCTTCAGCTGGATTCTCACTACTGTTGCCTGGGAGGTTACTGATCGTTCCCGAGAGATGCTGTTTTTCCTCAAGTAGTGTTTCATCTCTGCTTGTCTCCATTCCTTCGTCTTTTTGGTGCTTCCTCTGCGTGGAGTAGAACAGTCGACGGACGTGCGGGTTGTGTAGCCATGTGTTGTTGCGCTGGCACTCACTGCTTTCCGTTGCCTTACGAAGTGTCACCCTAGGAGTGCGCCTTGGTGTTGCTTGGTCTCAGGACTCTTAGAGCAGTCGCAAGGCTCTGTAGGTGAGCTGAGCTTCCTACTGTGTAGTGTTGGAAAGTGGCAAGTACTTGCTGGGAAGTCACTGAACTGGGCTCACCATGAGAACCATAGCTAAAATGTTCCTCTCCCTGATAACCAGGCGTATTCAGGAGTACGGATTTGCCTCTGCTGTTGTGTACCAGGTCCTTCAGCAGAGCAGCGCCACCACTCACGTAGCCGGGCTAAGTTGGAAGCAGGCAGTCTTGCTTTTCCTATAAAGAGTAAAGTCCGCACTGTCTGTGACAAGGCCTCAGCCTGGATCCTGGTTCGCCTCCCATAGCTTCAGCAGGGTCGCCTGTGGCCTCCACAGTGAATCTACTTGTCCCTGCTTGGTGTTCTTCCTTGCCTTTGTCAGCAAGACAGTTTTTGTCTATTTTTTACATTTGTTCCTTCGCGAGCTTTCTTTCACTAACAGTTCCTTCCACAAAACGTTACTACACCTAAGTCGCTGTTACAGACACAGGCGTGCACCTCTGCAGTGACCGAACAGGAAATGCTCAGCACCTCTGCTTATCTTTTAGAAATAGAGTAATCGTAGCTGGACCCTGGTTTTAGAGATGCATTCAGAAATATTTGCAGATGAACAGACTTGCTTTAAGATGATGCAGCATGGACTCAGAGAGAGAGGTACCGTTCAGGGTGTGACAGACTTTTCCCCGAGTCTTTCGGGGTATGTGAGCCCCACATTCTGGTCAGATGTGGTCCCCGTGGGTGCACCAGAGCAGCCACCGACTGAATGTGAAGGAGTGAGCCCGCTGTGTCCAGTCAGGTTGTCCCTGTGGAAGCAGCCGAGGGCCACACTGCAGAGCATGTCAGCGTGGCACATGCCTGGCCATGTATGGGAGGGTTCCGGGAGGTGACCATCGTTGGTTGCCACTGTTGCCACATATGTCTGCAGCACTCCACAATAACGAGTTGTGGCAGTTTCTTTTAGAAGTAAGTTCACACACACACACACACACACACACAGGTGGGCCAGGGAGATGGCTCAGTGGAATAAGCGCTTCCCTGGCAAGCGCAAGGGTCTGAGTTCAATCCCCAGTTCCGCCAAAAAAAAAAAGGGTTAACGCAAAAGTCGGTTCTTTCTGGGTAGGTGTCTGAGCACTCACGCCAACTGTTTCCTCTCTCTGCCGAAATCCTGCCTGGGTGCAGCCTCGCTCCAGTCTTCCCTGCAGCAGCGTGAGGAGAAACACGCCAAGATCAAGCAGCTGCTTGTGAAAACCAAAAAGGAGCTGGCAGACGCCAAGCAAGCAGTATGTGACTCTTTGTCTTGGGACTGGCTGGGGGTCGAATGACGAGTCCCTGTGCTTTCCATCCGAGCCCTCTTTTCGTTCGTAGGAAACTGATCATCTCATTCTTCACGCATCCTTAAAGGGTGATCTGGAGGCGAGCCAGCAGCAAGGCGAAATCTACAAAGTAAGACTTTGGGGTCTGAGATGGGAAAGGGGCGCCCTTGTGGCAGGGAGCGACCCTCTGAGTGCACACGCGACAGCGGGCTGGTGGTATCCCTGGTGGGCCAGAGGTCCTGCTGCTCTGAGGACGCGGAGCAGTCGGGCAGTTGGTGGAGCACGCGAGTGCCTCCCACGGGGCTGCTTGCACGCACTTGTGGGCGTGCTGCAGAGCAGTGCAGCGTAGAGTGGCCGACCCGGCCTCACCTTGACCCTCTGAATGTCGTTGAGTCAGAGAACCCGTGTATAAAATGGCTTCACGGGCCTGCCTCGTATGTACAAATACAGAGTCCACCACAAATTTTATACACACTTCAGGAAAAGAAAAGCTTACCTGATTTCATACTAAATTTGTGACAGCGTGAGGTTAATTCAAGTGACCTCTGGCTGCTGCAGTTGCAGGAGTCAAAGTGGTGGTCTCGAGCCTTCGGACGTTCTTAGGAGGCTGAGCTGCTGCTGGGGAGCCCTGGCCATGAGGCTGCTGCACCCGCGTTTCCAGTGCTTCTCTAAGGCCAGCCCTGTGGTGGGTTTTGTGCAGTATCGAGGACCTCTAGGGCCTCCATGTGAGGCTAACACTATCTTTTGAAAAAGTATGCCACCCAAATAGCTCAGTAGATTAGGGCCAAGGGGTCAGTCCCCGGGCCGGCTGTGCTGGCCTCACCCCAGGGCATGGCACTCTGGGACAGCAAATGAGACGGTGTGTTGGCGTTGGCGCTCACCTGTAATCCCAGCTCTTGGGAGGCTGTGAACAGGCAGATCACTACGAGTCCAGTCTAGTGGTGAGACCCCGAACACCCTGTAGACCCTTCCCTAACATACAAAGAAAAAAGTATCATACTATTTTACTTTCTGAAGTGTGGGTACAGTTTTTTTGTTTTGTTTCATTTTGGCAGACTATATAAAAAGGCTTGAGCTATTTCACTGAATGAGAATGAAATATGCAGTCTGGGAGTTTTGTGATTTTTGACTGCTGTTGGTTTACTGTAGTGTGAAACTGTTCTGCTCCTGCTGTCCCCACTCTAGTGCTGACACCTCCACACCCCTCCTCAGGTGAGCCCCGCCGGGTGCCATGCTAACCTGCACTGTTCCCTAGATCCAGCTGGCGGAGGTGACTGCGGAGAAGCACAAGCTGCAGGAGCACCTGAAGGTGGCTGCCGAGCGGCACCAGCGCACGCTTGGCGCCTTCCAGCAGCGGGTGGCTGCGCTGCAGGAGGAGAGCCGCACGGCCAAGGTGCAGCCAGCTGGGGCGGGCGCCGGGTGGGCACTGTGGGAGTGCGCGGGACTGGGTGGGGCTTCACCACTCCACAGGAAGTGCAGGTCTGGAGGCCTTACAGCAGGGCTGCGATGAGAGAAAAATGCGTGCGGGGTCCAGAATCAGATAGTGCCCTTCTGAAGCTTACGGGAGGTAGATGGATCTCCCGGAAAGAGAAGATTACATTATTCAGGCATTTTTATTTTTTAAAATATTTATTTATTTATTTATTTAGTGTGTGGCCAGCTCAGCCCACCAGGGGGCAGGCGGGCTGGCATGTGGTGCTGGGGGATTGAACCGAGGTCCCTGTGCTTTGCTTGAGCTTAGCTTGTTCTAAGTAGGTGCTTTAGACCACTGAGCCATCTCACCCGCCCATTCAGGCATTTTTAAATGTATAAGAACAACATAAGTATGTTTTTTGGTGAAGTTAACAAATTATTTTCAAGAATGAGTTTTCACCTCGTTCGTTGACCTCTGAAAATAAGATTGTGTTGTGGTAGAAAATGGTTTTCTCTCTTTTCATGTTATAGGCAGAACAAGCTGCTGTAACCTCAGAATTTGAAAGCTACAAAGTCCGAGTTCACAATGTCCTGAAACAGCAGAAAAATAAGTCTGTGTCTCAGGTTGAAACCGAGGGAGCAAAACAAGAAAGGTGAAGTTTAACGCTGGAAGCTCACAAGGTCCCCTGCCCAGCGTGAGGTTGCATGGGCTGGCACCTGCAGGGATTTGCTCCAGGTGCTCCAGGGGGCCGGGACCTCGGCTTTAGCACCGAGCAGAATTCCACGCGGTCGAGACAGCAGCGAGCAGCAGCTGGGCCCGAGGTGTCTTCAGCTGTCAGCTCAGTGCCAGCGGCCTCTGCCCTCAGTCTCTCCGTAGCTGGGCTCCATTACAGTAGAAATTTGAACATTAACATTGGGATTCAAGTCCAGGCGCGGTAATCGTAGTACTAGGGATGCTGAGACAGAGGATCTTGTGTAGTGAGACCCTGTACCAAGTACATTTAAAAAAAATAAAATTGGGATTCATTTTTCCAGTTTGGGAAATAGAAGGGTAAAGAATAAGAACACTTTCTCAGTGCTTTTTCACTGTTTAGCCAAACAGAAGTTGCTAAGTTTTACTTCAAGAAGTGTTGGTGAGGCTTGCGGCACACACATAATCCCAGAACTCAGGCGACTGAGGCAGGAGGATCACTGTGAGTTCCAGGCCCACTGGGCTACTTAACGGGTTCGAGGCCAGCCTGTTCCAAACAACACAAGGACAAAAAACTTTAAGTACTGAGTTCTGGCTTAGAGTACAGTTTTTCTTTGCTGTATTAGCACCCTCTCGGTTCTACTTGAGTAGCAGATCATGTCATCCTGCTTCAACTGAGTATCCACACCCCGAGCAAGCCACTCGCACGTGTTGAGGACAGGAGCAGGTGGGTCGTTGGCAACCTCTGTGCAGAGCTGCGCAGCTGCCACTGTCCTGAGTGGCCCAGGGATCCATGGTTTGGAGCCATTAAGTGTGGGCCTGTAGACTCCAGCAGTAGTTCCCATAAAGCTGAGGTTGACTACTGGCCAAGGTTAGATTCTAGCACTTTAGTAAATAGAAAGTGTTGCCATTTGCAGGAGCCCTTTTTTACTATGCCTGAATTTTGGGTTCACATTATTTTCATTATATTATATACATTAAACACCCTCCTTTTTCCCTCATGCTGGGAATTAAGCTCAGGCATCCAGCTTGCCGCTCCAGCAGCATCTGCAGCCGCTTTTCCTTTTGAGGCAGGGTCTGACTAAGTTGCCAGGCTGGCCTTGAACTTGTAATCCTTGTGCCGAAGCCGCCTTAGGGATCACTAAGGTCTGTGCCACCGTTGCAGTTGGGTTTTTTTCTTTCGTTTTTCTATGCTAAAGAGCCAATCCAGCACCTGCATGCCAAGCAAGTGCCCTGCTGCTGAGAGTCCCCTGCACCCCATTAAGTACATTTGCTAAAAGTGACAGTAATAGTGTTTTATGCATAAGATACGGAAGAATTGTGGCTTTTAACTAAGCAAAAAAGATCTTTTTTTTTTTTTTTCTAAGCCCAAAAAAGGCCTTTCACTCTGATTTGGTCTAACAGCATTTTCAGAACAGTTGATTTCAAACTGTAGATTTTGTTTAACTAATGACATAGGCCTTTAACATAAAATAAGCTAGTTTGATAGCATTTAGTGGCCTGTTTCCTTAGAATATGAAACTTCAAGGAGAGAGTGTTCTATAACTGTAGTGCCTGAAATTGACAGCCTGTGAATGTATTATGTTGAACCCTAGTCTGGGTTCTTTTGTGCCCTGTAGAACCGTCCACAAGCATGGAGTCTGGAATCCAAAGGTGAAATGACTAAAATAGGCTTGAAACCACAAAATGAGGCCTGCTTCCTTCAGCTGTTATATATTCTTCTGCTTCAGGGAGCACCTGGAAATGCTGGTTGACCAGCTGAAGATCAAGCTTCAGGACAGCCAGAGTAACCTGCAGGCCAGCGTGTCAGAGCTGCAGGCGCTGCAGTTGGAGCATGACACCTTGCTGGAGAGGCACAACCGCATGCTGCAGGAGACCGTGGCCAAGGAGGCGGAGCTGCGGGAGAAGTAGGTGGCTGCATGTGCCTGCTCTACATGGGGCGTCAGCCTCACTCCTTGGGGTGCATATGGGTGGAGAGTCTGAAGTAGGCTTTCTCCAAAGGCTCAGCACTTCCCCTCTGGGCTGGTTTTCTACTTCACATATTTAGGATCACGTGGTGTTATCTGCCCCTCCTGTGCCTTCCTGGCAGCATTAGTGCCCCTGCAAGGGGTGGCAGTGCACACCTGGAATCTCAGCGCTCTGGAAGTGCTGTTTGTCAGCTTAGCAAGATCCTGCCTCAAAAGGCAGAATGCTGGAGAGGTAGCTCAGTGTGAAGGTTCTGTGTTCACTCCCCAGTGCTACGACCTGACCGCCAGGAGAGCTGCTTTCCAGTTCAGGTGTGACATAAGCACTCTCCTCATCACCAAAGGCAAACATTAACTAGGTCTTACTGAGGAAGAATATGCATCAGCTTTGCAGCCTTGTCACAGCCTGTCCTGCCTTGTTATAATTGTTCCAACGCTCAAATATCAGCAAAGTGATTATTGTGAGCAAGAAATGCTGGGGCCGGGGAGACGGCTCCGTGGAATAAGTGCTTCCCAGGCAAGGGCCCGAGCCCACTCCCCAGTTCCGCCAAAAAAAAGAAGAAGAAATGTTGGTTCCGACAGTGAGGAAATCGGAGGTGGTCGTGATCTCTTGGGGAGTTGAAGAAAGGAGTTCTTTGAGCACTTTCCGGCGGGTGTCAGGATGCCCTCTGTCTCACGTGTTCTCTGTACTGCTTGGATTTCTGTCACAGAATAGTCATGTGTCTCACGTAAAAAGTTCCATTTCTTTATTTTACCCAAACCAAACCTGTAAAACAGAAAAGCCATTGAAAGTAGTGGTTCCTGAATTGCAGGCTCTGGTAAAAATCTCTTGGGAATTTATTCACATCACTCTTCCAAGGAGCACTGTTGGAGACTCATTCAGCAGCTTAGCATGGAAACCACAGAGCTGTTTCTAACAGGCTGTCCAGCGAGTCCTACGTGCAGAGATTGGGAAGCTGCCGTAGCAAGTCAGGTCTTCTGTTCAGGTGTTTCACTTTAACTCAGATCACGCAGATACTTTGCTTTACGACTCCCTCTCTGAAGTGTTCCGTAAGCTCCCACCTAAGGCTGGCAGAAGAAGTGGACAGATTGAAGGTGTAATTAGCTTATGCTCTACTTAGAATTCTTTTCTCTGATGGACCTTGCAGCACAGTCTCTCATCCAGCATCCTGCATCCACCTTGAGACACGGGATGCGTGGAAACCAGCTGGCAGCTGGCCACCCGACTTGTAATGGCGGCACTTACTGTCCAGAGGAGACCGAGTTACAGGAATAAGTTTTCATCAGTTAGCTAGAATCTGATGCACACCCCACGAATTGGAAGTAGGCATGGGCCCAGATCTTTGTCCCCCTTTGGCTTATGTAGGTTCCTAGGTTGCAGTAGTGACTGGGCTAGGGTGTCGTGCCTGTGGACGTAGAATCTGGCTCTTACTTTATTTAACTGGTCCTGCCTCTTCCCTTATCTCTTCCGTGATTGTGAAGTCTTAACAAGGTGGGAAAGGGCGGAGGACTGGGCAGTTTAGGCAAGGCCAAACGGGGAGACCTCGCTCAGCTTTACCCTATCACTAGAGCATAGCAGGCAGGGGTCAACTGAGTTGATTTCTGTCTCAGTGTCTTCTACTTCCAAGGTGAATAGAATGCTGTGCTGGAACTCATTTGGCTTAGGATGCCGTCTCCTACGTTGTAACTTAATAGTGTGCTCTAGATGTTTAGGAGAGAGGACAGTCATGCGCCGGGCTGCATTAGGGCTTGTGCAGAAGCCTGTGTTGATACACAGCCTGTACTCTCCCATGTGACCCAGGTCTTCCTGCTCTGCAGGTTGTGTTCCATCCAGTCCGAGAACCTGGCCATAAAGTCTGAGCATTCAAAGATGGTGGGACAGCTGACATCCCAGAGCGAGGGCCTCCGCAGCAGCTTCCGAGAGCAGGTGCGGCACTTGCAGGATGAGCACCGGAAGACAGTGGAAACCCTGCAGCAGCAGCTCTCCAAGGTGGAAGCTCAGCTCTTCCAGCTCAAGAGTGAGCCGACCACACGAAGTATGTATGTACCCAGGAAGCAGGTAGCTCGTGCTTTCACATGCTTTTGTCACTTGAGTGCGTTGTCGCGGATTCACAGGAAAGTGGAGCCCTTCATGGTGACAGACAAGTGCATTTGATGCATGTTGGATTGCTTACTGAGAAGATATTTCAACCATGTGAGCTTGACTGTTACACTTCTGTCAGCCCGTGTGGCCTCTGGGAATGCTAGTTTGTGTGGGATTTATCACCCTCTGTGAAAGGCGCTAGCTTTTTGTTGGGTTTAGACGTCACTCTCTTATTAGTGTCATGGCGTGGAACCTAATTCAGGTTCACCTTTGGATGCTTGGTACTTTCCATTGCTGACCATCACATGCATTTGTCCTATAGTTAGACAGGACAAGGGCCTGCAAACACCACATGGTTTCCTCCCTTTCATATGTTGGCCTGGTTGGAGTTTCAGTTCAGCCACACTGGACATACTCCGTTCTGCTTCCAGGGACAGATGACCAAGTGTTAGCCAGGATGGCCACATATTTCATTCCTGCATTGTTGGTACTTTGTTTCCCATGGAGAATGTTCCTGGAGCACAAGCAGCCACGAGTCACTAGTCAGGATCAGAAACCAGCATTTAGGAGTCGGCAGCAGAATGAGCAGCTGCCCAGATAACAGACACCCAAGACAAAGCTTCAGAAGGACTGCCAGGAGAAATGGGCTGCAAAGTACAAGATGGGCGACTTCATGAGGTAGAAAATTAAATTGGAAGTTTAAAAAATCTGAGCTAGAACCGCTGTCCCTAAATTGGCAATGAACAAGTTACTAAATTTGTTAGATTAGCTGGCATCAGGTAGGTAATATACCTGAAATGACTGTATTCTATAAACTCTACGGTTCTTTGCAAACATTCATTAGGAGCCAACAAGAAAGCCTTAGCAGCAGTGAATGCCCATGTCGGAAAAACAGCAAGCACAAATGAACGACTTAGTGGTAAAGCTCAGATTTCTAGAAAAAGAAGAGCAGGCTAAGTGAAAAGCTGGTATGAGAGAGAGAATTCTAAAGATCAGAACAGAAATTAACACATTGGAAACTAAAAATGTAACACAAAGAATCAATCAAACAGTTGCTTCTTTAAAAGATTAAATAAAACGGAAAAATCCTTATCCAGCCTTAGCAAAAAAAGGAAGAAAAAGACTCAAATCCACATGATTAGAAGTGAAAGGATGAAATCACAGACCCTCCAGAAATCCTAGAAGGTCGTTGATAACTACTTTAGAAACTTGTATTGAATAAGATGAAAAATGTAAAAAAAATGGAGATTCCTAGATACATATGAACTACCAAAGCTGGATCAGAAGGTATAAAAATCCTAAATAAACAAACATCAGTCAGATTTGTAGTATAACTAAAAGTCTGCCAACAAATAAAATTCTTGGCCTTGACAGATTTACTGCTAAATTCTACAAGAAATTTAAATAAGACCTAATTACTACTTCTCAAACTCTTTGATAAAATTGAAAAAAGATCAATAGCTCCAAATTCATACCTAGAAGCGTGCATTACCCAGATGCCAAAACTGGACAAGGATCAGACTTAAGAATTATACACCAGTTTTCTTAATGAACATAGATGTGAAAATCTTTAATAAAACACCAGCAAAAAAGACACTAGCCAACAGAATGCAGCAAATTACCAGGTAGGTTATACACCGTGACCGAGTGGGGTTCATCCCAGGAATGCAGGGATGGCTGAGCGTATGCTGATTAGGAAGTGTGATGCACCATATTAACAGCCAACGACAGAAATCATAGTCATCTCAGTAGATGCACAAACACTTTTTTAAAAAATTTTATTTTATTTTATTTTATTTTATTTTATTTTATTTTTTTTTTTTTTCCAGGGATTGAACTCAGGCCCTTGTGCTTGCCAGGCAAGCACTTACTCTACTGAGCCATCTCCCCGGTCCCAACAAACACTTTTGATAAACAGTCCAGCACCCATTCATGATAAAACACTGCAGAAAGTTGGAATAGATGGTCCTTTTCTCGTTGTGATAAGAGCAGTCTATGACTAAAGCACAGCCAGTATCGTATTAGGTGAACGGAAACCGAAAGCTGTTGCTTGACTTCAGGAACAAGGCATAGATTTCTGCTGTCTCCACTCTTAACACAGTCCTGGAAACTATAGCCAGAGCAGTTAGATAAGAGAAAGTAATAAAAAGAATAATGATAGGAAAGGAAAAGGTTAAATTATTATTTGGAGGTGACATGAAACCTTACATAGAACTCCTCAAAACACTTCACTGAAAGAGCTGGGGAGACACCAAGACGGTATGAACACCTGCCTCACCAGTGCGAGGACCTGGGTCTGACCCTTGATACCCCACACTGGGGCAGCCATGGAAACTGGGTGAGGAGGTGCATGCCGGTAATCCCAGTGCTGCAGAGGCTGAGACAAGTAGCACTGCAAGTCACAGCTGTATAGCTAGACTCTATACCAAATAATTTTTTTTAAAAAAAGACTCCACTAAAATACTGCTAGATTTAATACGCAAATTGTTCCATAGCTGGTTACAAAGTCCACATTCAAAAAGCAATAGGCTTCTGGGCATGGTAGCTCATACCTGTAATTCCAGCACTCAGGAGGCTGAGGCTGCCAGAGGATTGTTGTGAGTTTGAGACTAGCCCAGGCTAGAAAGTGAAGCCCAACCTGAACTACATATTGAGACCCTGTCTCAAAAAGACAAAAAAAAAGTAGCCTTTCTCTACATGCATACCAAAGAGAGAAGTTAAGGAAACACCTTTCTTAGTAGCATCCAATAAAATGAGACACCTAGGAATCCATAGGGTCCAGGGATTGGTTCTACCCGAGGAGAAATGCGACAGGATTGAGGAAAAGATAGACAAGAAGACAAAAGCCGGATTAGGTGGTAGCTCTTCTGCCTGGTTGGTGAGATGAACCCAGCAGCAAAACAAAATGGGTATTTGTTTATACCTTTGCAAAGGTAGTAACATGTGACACAAGGTTGCCTAGTAGCCAGCCTTAGCCAGACTGGATGTGTATCTCCGGACTGAGGGGGCGTGTTTGCTTTAGGCGCTGAGGCCCAGTCCCACCTGCACACATTTGACCAATTTTCCAGCTTCCGCAGCTTCCAACAGGAATCAATCTAAGGAAGGATAGAAAAGAACTCTACATTGACAGCTACTCTGAAAAAGATTGAAGCAATTATCAAAAAGTAGGGGTCAGGGAGATAATTCAGTAGAATAGGCACTTGCCTGGCAAGTGCAGGGTCCTGAGTTCAATCCCCAGTACCGCAAAAAAAAAAAAAAAAAGGAAAGACATCCTCTGCATTTGGGCAAGGAAGAGCCATTATAGTGAAAAATGGTCGTTCTTCCAAAACTGTTGTGCAGATTTAATGTAATCGTGGTCAAAATTCCAATAGCATGTCTTGCACAGTTAGAGAAAATTCTAAAATTCATTTGGAACAAGAGCCCTAGAATAGCAAAGGCAGTTCTGGGCAACAAAGGCAAAGCAGAGAGCATCACAATCCCTGACTTGAAATTGTACTGTAAAGCTGCTATGATACAGTGTGGTGCAAGCAATAAAACAACAACAAACAGGAAGATCAATGAAACAAACCAGGGGCCGGGGAGATGGCTCAGTAGAATAAGCGCTTCCCTGGCAAGCACAGGGGCCTGAGTTCAGTCCCCGGTTCCACCAAAAAAGACTAGAAGATACAGAAATAACTCCAGGTATACTCAGCTACTTTATCTGTGACAAAGGTGCCAGACATTCACTAGAAGAAAGATGGCCTGTTTAATAAATATTGCTGGAAAAATTGGCTCTGCACACACTGAAGGTTAAGATTGGACCCACTTTCACCATGCACTGAATTAAATAGATTAGAAATCTAAATATTAAAAGAGGAACATTAAATCTGCTGGAAAATAGAATAGGTAAAACGCTTGTAGACATGTATAGACAGTTTGAGTAAAACCACAATCACATAGGAATTATCATGAAGAATTAATCGCTGGGATCTCATTTTATTAAAAAGCTTTGCTCAGCAAAAGAAACCACAAATGGGCTGGGCAGATGGCTCAGTAGAATAAGCACTTCCCTGTCAAGTGCAAGGGTCTGAGGTCATCCCCGGTTCCACCAAAAAAAAAAAAAACACAAACAATGCAGAGACAGCCTACGAGATGGGGAATTGCTTGCCAGCTCTTCTTCAGACACAGGATTACTACCAAGGACATATAAGAACTGAAAAAATCAGATCTCACAAATTTAAAGACCCAATCCAAGAATGAGAATCTGAGATGAATGCACGCTTCTCAGATGACATGTAAACATCAAATAAATATATGAAAAAATAGTCAACATCACTGGTCATTCAAGAGATGCAAATTAAAACACTTGAGATTGTATCTCACCCTGGAAATGCTGTCATCAAGAAATCCAATAGCAAATGCTACTGGGTCAGTGGGAGAAAAGCCTTCTCCGCCATTGGCGGGAGTGCAGACTAGTATAAGCACTGTAGAAATCGGCGTGGGGACGGCTCCACACGCTAGGTAGGAGGTCCCACTCGAGCCGGCTCTTCTCCGCTGGGTGTCTTCCCAGAAGCACTGAGAACAGCGCACTGCAGTGGTACGTGTGCACCCGTGTGTACAGCAGCACAATTTGTGACAGCTACATCCTGCAGACAGCCCCCACGCCCCTCATACTAACTGAGGAGAGGATAAACAAGAGGAGGTCTTTTTATACAGTGCAGTACTCAGCCCTGAAGGAAGGCAGAGTGGAGACTGTTAGGTAAGGGAATGCAGCTTGAAGCGTGCTCGTAAGTGAAATAAACCAGACGCACACGTGGGAATGTCTTGTCTCCCTAGTGTGAAAAGCTAAGAGTAAGAAGTCCAAAATGGGCAGTAGATACTATAAAATGGGAAGAAATGTCCAAAGGAAAGATAAGCTGGACTGGTGGAAAGGAGAAAAAGGAAAAGCAAAAACATGTGGGTGAGGGTGTATGTGTATTAAAGGTAGTTAACTATTCTCTAATTTATTGGAGAGGTTTGTGCTAATATTGTTTAGACAGGTAAATCCTGGTATCTTGTACTCTGAGTAACTGATTTAAAGATAACAATATACAACATTAACCCTTGTTACCTTCCTATTATCTTGTTTTAAATTTTTAGGTTTTTTCTTAGAATAAAAGAAATAAAACAGTATAACTAGTAGGAAAAAAAAGTCCTTGGCAGGAAGTATATTCCATGTGCAGGAGCCTGGGTTTTGCCCTCGAGGCTGCGGTGTGGGTGTGGGCACGGGCCGGCAGTGCTGGGACTGCCGAGGAGAGATGGCCAGGGCTGTGAAGTGGATACAAGCCATGCCTGCTGTCAGGGACATGTCCTGTCAGGTCGGATGCAGCAATCCCAATAGCTGGGATCTAGCTTTATCATTTCTACCAATATTTGGCAGGAGGTAGTACTTTTCCACAAATGAATAGACATCAGTCGTGCTGTTTTATGAGCTTTATGTTATCCAACAGGTTATGTTAGCTAATCACAATTAACTTGTAGCTTCTCCTGAATGACCCAAGTGGTTAAAAGTTCAGTGAGTACATTTTTAGGGCATTTTTAGAAATTCTCTTTTTTTTCCCACTGGGGGGTGGTACTGGGAATTGAACTCAGGACCCTGCACTTGGCAGGCAGGGCCTTGAGCCACTGAGCTAATCCCTAGCCCCTAGTAGTTCTCTCTTTGCATTCTCATTATGTAATTTCCACATCACCTGACATTCCCTGGATCATTTTAATCTTCCATCTGTTGAGCCTGACTATCCATCTGGGACAATCTCACACTTACAGCCACAGCCTCTGGCCAGTCCATGAAGAACCTGCGAGAAAGGAGGGCCACCGATGTGACCCTTGTGGACATGCACACCGTGACCCGCGAAGAGGGTGAGGGGATGGAGACGGCAGACGCAGAGTCCGTGTCTTCTGCCAGCACCTCTGCACCATCGCTGGAGCAGCTGCTCAGCTCTCCTGAGACAAAGCTGGGTGAGGTGGTTTTTTTGTTTTGCTTTTGAGCCCCTTCAAACTTTCCTGCAATGGGAAGCAAATCTCTGTTTTAAACAGGGTGCTAGTGCTATCCCAGGGCAGGCCCATCAGGGATGATAGCGGTCCCCACCCCCGAGGGGATGGCGGTGTCTGCTTCCCCACTTGGTGATGACGCAGCAGCTGTACTGTATGAGCCACAGCATTGGCCTGTTGCGCTCCTAGCAGTCAGTGTCCCTGTGATGACTTGGGGATTCTCGTCATCTTTGATGTGTGCTGCTGCCTGCACCCAGTGTTGGGCAGCTTTCCATCGCTGTGAAGGGACATTTGAGGTGGCAGCTGAAAGAATGGTTTACTTTAACTCACCTTTCCAGAGGTTTTGCTCAGAGGTTGGCTGGCTCTAGTTTGGGGCCTGCACAAGGCAGGCACATTGGGGAGCCCCTGGCCTCACTGCAACTGGGAAACGGCAAGTAGCTGGGGTCCCACTGTCACCGGGAGCCACCATGTCCTCCACCAACCCCACCTCTCTGTATTCCCAACAAGACTTCAGACTGAGGACCAGGCTTTAAAACGTGGGCGTTTGGGGCATAATGAAGGTCAGCCATAACAGTGGTTAGTGACTGCTTAATGGAAGCCGCGAGGCGTGCTCTTGGGCAGCGTGCACAGTGAGGTACTTTAGTCTCCAGACAGCTCTGGCCTTATGTTGCAGCCAGAGTTACTCGTAGAGTCAGTATCAAATTTGATTAATACCTACCCCACCTCATAGGAATTGCTTCTGAGGGCCATGATGCAGCGGTTGGTAGGTGGGGTGCTTCCCTCGCATACAAGAGAAATGGCATAAGTTCATGGAACACTGACAGGTGGAGAGAGGATGCACGATGACACTAATAGGCCATGGGGGGGCGTAGCTAGTGGTGAGTGCTGACTTAACTTGCGCCAGACCCTGACCTCCCTACCCAGCTCCACACAGAAGAGACGATGTCCAGGACACTAGCCTGACACAGCAGCGTTGGGCGCGCAGGGCTGGGGTGGAACTAACTCTTGCACATTGCTGCAGTCTGCTTTTGTTACATGCACTAAATGGTGTTTTAGGGGTGTGCGTGTGTGCGTGTGCGTGTGTGTGTGTGTGTGTGTGTGTGTGTAGGGTCTCACTACACAGCTTGGACTCCTAGTGATCCTCCTGTTTTCAGCCTTTCTAGTGCTGGAATTATAGGCATGCGCCACCATCCCCAGACTCCATCTCTAGCTCAGTGCATGGGTGGAGGGTGGCACACTGCGTGTGGTCCCAGGAATCAAACCCTGGCCCCTGTGCTTGCCTAAGCCAGCGCTTAGTCCACTGAGCTATTTCAATGGCCCTTAAATAGCATCTTAACTGAGTTGTGTTGAGTAGATGAATAGCAAAGAGAGTAAGTAGGCTTAGCAGTTCTGCAGTGTACGACATCTAAGTGTTGCCCTTCTTTAGAATCCGTCATCTCTGTGTTTGAAAATTAATTCTTAGAACACCTTGCAGAGCCTCCTCTGTGGCACACTGAGTTTACCAAAGAAGAGTTGCTTCAGAAGCTCAGCTCCACCACAAAGAGTGCGGAGCACTTGAATGGCCTGCTTCGGGAGACGGAGGCAACCAACGCCATCCTCATGGAGCAAGTCAAGGTGAGGCCACTGCCACAGCTGCCCACAGGGAATGCTGGGGGATGAGGCCTCAGCCCGAAGTGCCCTGTGCAGTGCACACATGCGCCTGGAACCTCTTGATTCCATTTTTCTTTGGCGGAACTGGGCCCTTGTGCTTGCCAGGCTAGCACTTATTCTACTGAGCTATCTCCCCGCCCACAACCTCTTGATTCTTTATGTTAATAGATTTGTGTAGGTAAGAAATGTTCAGTGCTTTTGTATCTATTATGTAAATACTCTTTTAATTTCTACTTCCTTTAAGAAACCATAAGAGATTTAGAAGTTAAGCATGTTTACATGTCATTGTTCCAGGTGTACTTAAGTAAAACTCACTGAGTTCAGTTCTGTGCACCCTAAACCCAAGCAGGGAGCGCTCCCAGGATTCAGATTAGTGAGTAGTAGGACGCTCACTGGCCACCTAGCACCCCCATGTGGAGGTGGAGAGTAGCAGAGGCAGCCTTTCCTCTTTAAAGGCACCACCAGGAACATCTGGGCATGTGGCAAGCGGTTGACATTCCTAAAGCGAGGCCTTCCCACTGGGGCCCACTGGATTGAAGAGTAAAGCTCTCTGCCAGGCACAGTGGTGCACCTGGATCCTGCAGCTTGGGAGCTTGAGGCAGGAAGAGGACACGTTCAAGGCCAGCCCTTTGCAAGACACTGTCTCAAACAAAATGAAAAGGGCTGGCCAGGTAGCTCAGCGGACTAAAGCACCTGCTTAGGCAGAGCACAGCGGCGGGGGTTCAATTCGCAATGTGCTTTGCGGGTCCCACTCCAGGGCTCGCTGAGACTGAGCGTGGTGGCACACGCTGGTAACCCGTGCTTGGGAGGCTGAAAACAGGAGGATCACTATGAGTCCAGTTTACGTAGTGAGACCCTGTAGGCCCTATGCTAAATACATTAAAATCAAAATGAAAAGGTGATGCAGTTTAGTGGTAGAGAGCTTGCTCTGCATGCATGAGGTCTTAGTTCAATCCCTAGTGGTACAAAAAAAGTTAACATCATGCTGATTGAGCAGTTTTCATGATGCAGGCCTTGAATTTCACTCACACACACACACATATACACTGCACTGAAACAATCTCTGGAAAAGAAAAATGGAGATGGTATGTGATACAGCAGAACCTGGACTCCTGTCTGTCTGCAAAGTGTGTGCCTCCCTGCTGCGTAGCCCATGCAGAGCTGACCCCACTGCAGGGCCACCAGCTGTCCGTGCCAGAGTAGTTTGCTTAATGCTTAATTATGTGCTTATTCACAGCAAACCTTATGTATGTTGACATCCCATCCTTAAATATCTGTGTATACGTTTCCATAAAACGATATTCCCCTGCTAGTCAAAACAGCGCCTAATTAGGAGCCACGTGAGCCTCTGCAGCCTCTAACATGTGACCTTTCTGTAGATCTATACTCACATGATTTCCCGGACTTTACTGTCTTCTTTTTTCTTTTTTTTTTTGCTTTTGCTTTTTTGAGACAGGATCCCCCTGTGTAGTCCAGGCAGGCCTCGAGCTTGTGGGGCTCTTCATGACTCAGCCTCCACAGGGCTGGGCCTACAGGCATGTGCCACCGCACCCAGCCTATTGTCACTTCTTAAATGAACCTAGATTTTAGGAGAGAGACTAAGGGAACTCTTACTGCTGCCTTTATGGACTGGTCCATGCCCAGCTTCCCGCCCCGTGGCCGGGAGCCCCGAGTTTCTGAGGTGGGACGTGTGTTCACACAGATGCTCCCTTTTCAGAAGCTGCTGTCAGGGCCAGCCAAATAGCAGACTAAAAAGTGCCTGCTTAGAGCACAGCCACCAGGGTTCGATCCCCAGGGTGCAGTGCCGGGCCCCACCCTCGGCTCACTGAGAGCGATTGAGACGGCATGGTGGCACGAGCCTATAATCCTAGCCCTTGGGAGGCTGAAAACAGGAGGATCACTGCAAGTCCGACCTCCATAGTGAGACCCTGTAGACCCTGTACCCTGTACTAAAAAAACACGAAAAAAAAGCCGCTGCCACCCCTCCTCCTGTTTCCCATCCTCTGCTCTTGCCTCCTTCACTGGCATGCGGGAGATGTTCAGGGATAAGAAATGGAAAACTGCATTCACGCGTCTGTCTGCTGTGTTTGGCCAGTAGCTGCTAAGCCCATGCCTAACTCATTTCTCCAACACCAGCTTCTCAAAAGTGAAATACGAAGACTGGAAAGAAATCAAGAGCGAGAGAAGTCTGTGGCCAACCTGGAATACTTGAAGAATGTCTTGTTACAGTTCATTTTCCTGAAGCCTGGCAGCGAGCGGGAGAGGCTCCTTCCTGTCATTGACACCATGTTGCATCTGAGCCCTGAGGAGAAGGGGAGGCTCACCACTGTGGCGCAGGGTATGCGGAGGGGACATCTGGGCACTTACCACCCTAACCTAAGGATTTGTAGCTGCGCTGCGGTCCTGTGCATAGCTGGGGACTAGTTGTGAAAGAGGACGCTGTGCCCTTCCTGGCAGCTAGAGCTGTTTACCTCATGCCCAGCACAGTACCACACTGCTGAGGTGTGTCCTCTTGCCCTGCGGTCGTCTGTGCCTAGAACTGAGCTGACAGGTTTACGCTGCACTTCCCAGCACGTGCCGTTTTGTTCTCAGTTCAAAGATGCCCACCCCAGGCAGGCAGGGACAGCACTGGCCTTCCCCGGCATGAGTCAGAGCCACAGCTCCCTTCGCAGATGCATGCAGCTGCTTCTCCACCAGCACCAGGACTTGAACCCATTGCCTTCACACCACCATCTTCTGTAAAATTCTGAGGCGGGGTCTTAGTGATTCTAGTTGCTGGGGCATGGTTGGCTCAAATTTGTGGTCCCTTCTCAGCCTGTTGCATGCTGGCATAAGGTGTGTGCCGCGAGGCCCAACCCAACATCATACGGTGTTCTTAAGGAGTAATCCCAGCACTCCGGTAGGCTTCATAGTGAACTCAAGGCCAGCCTGGACTACGTAGTAAGACCCGATCTCAAAAAAAACCATAGAGCACTTGCCTGGCATGCATTAGGGTTTCATCCCCTGTACTGGGAAGAAGAGAGCAATTTAGAATTCTAACATGTCCTAGATGGCACAGACTGCTTATATTGTAGAGTAATTGTAGAATGTCAGTTTCATCCTGTAAAAATGTAATACTGCTTTGTTTTCACTTCCTAAAGGTGAGGAGGAAAACGCATCCCGGGCCTCCGGATGGGCCTCTTATCTGCACAGCTGGTCTGGACTTCGATAGGTTGGGGCAGGAGGCTCCTCAGCCCAATGGGACTCATCCTGAGGGCCAGTTCACATACGTGGCTGTCCTTCTGTTGAGGGTGTCTATGTCCTCCTGTATTCTGCATGTGTGTCAGATGGGCCGCACATCTCGGCCTGAAGTGAAAGCACAGCAGCCAACACTGGGCCCAAGGCGCCCCTGGGAACTTGGCTGCTCCTCCCTGCAGCCTGGGCACCTGCGGGCAGCCTGTGAATTTGGAACTTAATAAACTGCTGGGCAGATCCAGTTTCACAGTGTGACAGGGATTCGCTGGTAAGGTGGATATAGGGTGATGAAGCTGGTACACTGCAGCCCTCTTGCTGCCAGCTGAAGCTGTCCTCTGATGTGCCCTCTGCTGAGCTTAGCTGTCAGGGCGC